CGCTGCTCCCCCCAGCACGTGCCTGTGCCATGGGCTCCACATCTGCAGCTTCATTCCAGCCTGGACCTCGCTGTGCCACCGTCCCCACTGCCTCCTGCCCCACATCAGAGTGGCCGGGGGGGGGGGGGGGGGGGGGGGGGGCAGATGTCAGCCAGGGCAGGCAGGAGGTGCTGCCACCCATGGGGCAGCACAGAGACCTCCTCTGCACCCAGTTCTAGTGGAGCTGAGTTATCGAAACCACTCCTTACATCACAGAACAGCACAGCTGGAAACACATGGAAACCCCAGGGAAAGGAAATGAGCATCTCTCTGGAGAGGAGATGCTGGGGAGGAGGAGGAGGAGAAGGATGATGGCGAGGAGGAGGCTGCCGCTGTGCAGAAGAACGTTGACACCTGGTGGTTGGCTCAGCCAACTGCTGGGGTGATGGCCAGTGGCCGCGGTGAGGGTCCAGCCTCCTGCCAAGGAGTCCTACAAAGCCTCCTCTAGGGCAGCCACGCCAGCTAAAGGATTCCAGATTCCAGAACAGGGTATGGCCAGGATTAGGCCATAATAAACAATTCCATGAGCCCAGTATGGAAGAAAGTGGCTTCAGATAAGGCAAGAATGTACATTTTGCACTGCGTGATGCAAAGAACAACCTGGGGAGCACAGCCAACCACTGCACATCATCCCTCTACTCACCACATCCCTTATTGCTGCTTCTCAGAGCTGCCCAACAATAGGGTTTACACAAACCGACTCCAGTGTGTGATACAGCAACATTCCAATTATACCTTTTGCACCTTATATATATCCCATAGTTTGAACATCTCCAGGCAGGCAGATGGAGTTTAACGGGAACTATTACATCAACAGATGCTCCTACCTAGTTAGCACGGCTAAGACAGGGCAGAAACTGAGGGAAGGCAGGAAAACATGTTTTCTGAGGGAGCCACCATCTGCCAATTTGAGAAGCTGCTGTCACCGATGACTCAGTAGCACTTGAATATGTGCAAATATCACTAATAGCATTCTCAAGACAGCTATTATTATATATTAACTTTATTATAGCTGTGGACCAGCACTGAGACTACAGCAATAAGAAAGTACTGTAATTAATGAGGCTAAAAGGGAAATCACTTTAGAGTTAGTTGAGAAAGGGCAGTTATTTCTCTCGGGAACCTTTAGATACAAACCTGGGGTTCATCCTTCTTTTCCATCATATTCTGTTAAGAAAGGGACGTGTTTGTGGCAGGACAGCACACAGAACTTACCAGGGTTTGTAAATGATTGCCGGCAGCAGAGGTGAAGAGTTAGAGCCAAAGGCAAACCTAAATCTATGTCCCAGGCAGTTACCACTCCATAAAGAACCAGGTACACTCCAACAGGAGAACCTGCATCTCCCCTGCCCTCACTGATCACTATTGGGATCTCCTGCACGCCAAGTGCCAGGCCTGGAAGCATTCCCTTTGCAGTTCTGTTCCCATGTCTGCTCCCATGCCATTCCATCCTCTCCCTCCCCTGCCTTTCACCCCCTTCCCCGCAGCACAGTCTCATCCCAAACCACACATCCAGCCCAGCTCAGGGATCTTCCCTGTAGAGAGCAAGCAGGTTTGGGAAGAGCTGAGCTTCCTTGTGCCTGCTAAGGCTGAAAAAAATGGATCTGGCATTGCAGCTGGTGAAGGGAAGCCCCTCAGGGCCTGTGTCCTCCATCAGCAGCTGAGCGCTTGTGTTCACCCACTAGAGAGCGTGTGACTGCACAAAAGCAGCACAGCATCCAGGCTCCTGAGGGATCCCGTTGTTCCAGAGACATGCAGCAGCATCCTTTGTATTCTATTATGTTCTATTTATTAACAGAGTTCTTCAGAAAGCATCCTTAGAGTTCGTGGCTCTAGCTGGTCCCAGGGGATTCAATCCATCTCTTTGGCTCATCAGCCGAAGCCCTTTACCACATAGCAGCATTTACAGTGAGGGAAGTATCAAGTACCTCTTTCTCGCTCAGGAATTGCCTGGGAGCTGCTGGGACTTGCTGAGCTCAGCCTAAGGTCTGGGCAGTTTCCAGAGAGGCAGGAACAGAGCCAAGGAGTAGGAGCTGGCACAGGTCGGAGTTCACCCCGTTTTGTGCCAGCTGGGTGTTGCTGCTGTTCCTGAAGGGAACAGAAACACAGTTTTCTCTCCCTGTTCTGCACTTCACACAGTACAAAATAGCTCCACGTGGGCTTCACTGACATTTCTGAACTTCTGTTGTCTCAGCTGAGCCCACGGAACAAGAAACTCTCCCCCAAAGAGAAGAGCAAACAAAACAGTGCATAGAGTTCGTTTGCTCCCATACATCCCATCAGAGGAAAGGGGGATTTAACACAAGGGGGCTGCTGTGTTCCAAGCAGGATTATGCTAGTGAAACAGAGGAGCAGGGATTAGCAGGGGGTCTCCCAGTGTAACGTGCTACAAGCCCTACCTCTGATTTATGTGCTGCAAAACCTTTAACCAGCAAATCATCCCTGTGATAAGTGTTAGGTGCAAAGCTGCGGCTGGGTACCTGGGCACCACGGAAGCTGACAGGCATGAAGAAGTTGGGGTGTGAAGAGAGGAGAATCCTGGGACACTTCAGCACTAGAAGCAGCACAGGGGGGAGTTAAGATGAGCAGTTTCAGCTCTGCAGAGCTGGGCAGATGGCCTCCAGGCTGCCTGATGTACAAAGAGAGGTGAAATAAATCCCAACCCCCAAGTGAAGCTGTAAGAGAGCCCAGGAAACATCTGGGATCTGTTCCAGCTCAAGAGCACTGAAGTCATTTGCTTTAGCCACTGATTTCAGTTGGCTGAGGAATGAAAGCAGGGTGCTGAGACTGCTGCTGCCTGAAGAGCGGATGGGGAAGTCCTAGTCACTTCCTCCTGCAGATGTGAGGCTGCTTGCTGGGTACCACACAGCCCACACGCATCCTGCTCTCCATGCGTGCCAGCAGCAGGGATGGGAGACAGCGTTTTTCTTACTAGCTCTTAAAATAAGCCTGAGATGACTAAACTGCAGCAGTGCTACCTCAGGAATGAATAACTGCTTCGTTTGCTGAACATGGAGGACTTCTCTCTCCAGTCCTGTAATTACTACACTAAAAGGATGACCAAACTTAAACATAGAACACCCCCCAAATCCGACTCCTCCAAACTCTCAACCTCTCCTCCCACACTTGATACCCTGAACCTATCTCCAGATCACAGCAAACACCTTGGATCTCAGGATGCCCCACTACGACATGAGCAGGTCTTGCTCTGCCTCAATTAAAATACTGTGCAAGGAAGGAATAACACTGAGGTGCATTATACTTACACGAGTCAGGAGCATGTGCCAAGGTGAACATAGCCCTGAAGCCTAAGGTACGTGGGAGCTGCCAAAACTGTTCATTAGCTGACAGGATGAGGAGAAGTAATTGATGCATGAACAAAAGCAGCAACTCCCGAGAGCAAACCCAGCCTTGAAATCGCTCAGTGAAGAGTTACAAAGCGCAGATGGTCTTCTGTAACCAAAGAGACAGCTTAAAGGCTGAAGATCAAAGGTTGTTTAGCTGAGGAGGCAGCTTGCACAGCTTTATAGATATAGAAGGCAAATTCACTCCTGCCATCTCTGTGCAAGATGTCCTTCCTGTCCAGTAGAACAGCGCTTTGGCTGGCCTGCAAGTGGAAATGGCTTGAGCAAGTCAGAAGATGCCCCTATTCAGATACCTCGTGCTGCTCACAGTGGCCAAACCCAAATAACAATCAGCCAAGTTACACAAAACCCTACAGCAATGGGTAAAGCAGAGGCAAAGTAACAGCCTAGCAGGTACTTCCATCAAAAAGTGTTATCCCCAAAGAACTGCATTTCAGGACCGCTCCCCCCCCCAGGCTCCAGTTCAGAAAGGGCATCCCAAGGCAAAGAGAGCTTTGACAAACACCCACATTTAGTCCCGTGCTTTCATCACACATTTCACTGGGATTTAAATGTTGGCTTCATTTATGCACACTGAACTTTCCCAGTGCCCCACTGGATATGAGCCAGAGGAAATGGCTTGCAGCCTGCCCTGAAGAACCAGAGCATTTCACCTTTAACACCAATGATTACAGCAGTTTAAGCAGTTCCTAAAGGCAGTGATGCAGTAAGAAAATCCCTTTCCATCACCATTCCCTTTCAGGAAGGGCTCAGAATGATAAAGTGTTCACCCACACAACTGCCACAGGCAGAGTTTTGTCAGGTGCTGGCACAAGTCCCTCTCCAAGCTCCAGTCTGTGAGGATTTCTTCTTCCTTTACTATGTTCTTACCATGGAGCTTTGAGCAACCTGGTTTAGTGGAAGGTGTCCCTGCCTGTGGCAGAGGGTTGTAACTGGATGAGCTTTAAGGTCCCTTCCAACCCAAATCTTTCTATGTTCACATTTCAAGCATCTCAAAGGTTATTCAATTCCTACCTAGACTGACAGGGCTGTGTATCCTCGGAGCAAGTACTAAGCCTGAGAACTAATCAAGGGGTGTTGGAGCTCCCTGGTAGCACTGAGCAGCTACTCCACTGTTGACACCAGCTGCTGCTTGCTGGTAGTTCTACATCCTGCCAGGAGACAGCTCTCACACCAGCACTGCTCCAGGAGCCTGCTTGTGTCTCCAAGGGTGCATCTGCAAACAGAGCAGCACACACAGGGGTGAGTTTAACCACTGGAGTCTTTCTCTAGCCACATTTCCCAAGGAAACTAGAAATAGAGACTCCTTTGGCTATCTCCATGAGGTGATGGAGAGGATCCCCTGTGTTCAGGCAGCAGCACAGTTGGGGTAGCAGAGCTAGAAGGTATACAAAAGTGTTAAATAAAACCTTTGCAGTGCATACATAGCTGAGATACCTGCATGTGCCCAGAGTGAAGGTGTATTTGACTCGGGCTGAAGCTCATGATTCAGATTTCCCCTTCTATGCTTTGTTTTAATCAAGTTTGGGGCTTTATGAACTGGGAGGAGTAGAAGAATATAGCAACAAGAACATAGCAACCACGCATGCACAGATATACTGTTTTGTGGACAACGGTTTATTACACAATGAGTTTTCAAACAAAACAGGAAACTGTGACAAAGTAGTAGCTAAACGTTACGGTACCAGGCCATGGGTCAAGCTGTAATGCACCAGGTGTGAGTCACAGGACAGTTAATGCACAGGTACCTTTCAGTCATCAATAAATACTTCACTACTTGGTACCCTCCAGGAGCAAGGAGACAATCAAACTCCAGCTCCTTTGCAGGTTACCTCAAGCATTGCTGTCCCTCTGATGTAACTACATTAATATCCATGTACCTAAATCCACCTTCAGCCTGAAGATTGACACATCTAGTTAATGATGCAAACATTAACAAACCTAACGTGTCTGTTCTGACCAAACCATGCAACCTGGGTATGTAAAGCAGTTTGGCTGAGCAGAACTGACAGAGATCAATAGACTCTGCAGCAGGTAAAGAGCCTGGCAGCCAGCCCAGCCTGGGTCTATCCATTGCCCTTGTTCATCAAAGCACCGTATGGAAGTCACCTGCCTTTCCATAGAGGATCAGCTTCCACTGGAGGTGCCTGGACCTTCTGAGCAGGGTTTGTTGTCAGCTCTAAAGTCACCACAGAAAAGCTAGGGCTGTGTCCAGGAGCACCAGCTCTGGAGAACCCCAGTTTCCACTCACCTGGCCTATTCACTTTCAGCCTTCCTCATGCCTTGCTGTGTGACTACCTATCCAATGCTTCACGTGCTGTGAACAGGCCCTTTTCCTCACATCTCCACTTAGTGTTCTTCCAAAACCTGAAAAACCACCTTTCCAGAACTCAGAGCAGTAAAATCTTCAGTGTCTTTCCTATGGGAAAGATTATCCTACCAAGAACAATCCACCACAGCATGAACCTGGGACTTTGCTCCCTCTGAGCATTGTAGTTCTCTAAAAGACAAGAAGCAGCTCAGCTCAGGTTTGGTTTTCCTTGCACAGCTCTTCATCCATTTGTCAGCTGCTGCCACTCTGGACCTCTGACCATGGGAGAGGAGAATGCAGGCAAAGCTGACTGTCAGCTGCATCCAAGGGACTGGAATGTCAGTGACTGATCCTAATACATACATGAGGAAGGAAAGAAACTGAGGCTTGAAGGAGACATATTCTTAACACTGGAATATTAAACCATGATATCTTCAACCTCTGTAAAAGCCCCCTCTGCTCAGTTCATTTACATTACGTGTCATATACTCAACAGGAGGCTGCTACAACACGTATGAACACATAAGACCTTACTTGAGTGCAGGATGTAAGAAGAAATCCATGACACTGAACAACTGAGGCTGAAAGGAGAAAGGCATGTTTATCACTCTGGGGCTAATGGAGTTTTTAGTCATGTTATATGTCAGAAGACAAGGAAATTCATTTTCCATGTCACATCACAGATATTGCTGCTTAGAGAACCTGAGCTTGTCAGAGAGAAGGAATTCCAGTTCAACAGTATCATCAGTGGTCTCTACTGGTACATTACTCTCTTCCACAGGGGGTTGGCAGTTCCCTACTTCATGCCTTGAAGCTAATATCCCATTGCAGGAACACGCCTCTGGTTGTCTGATGCTGTCTGAGCAAACATGGTTTGGAAGGTAAATGCCTGGGCAGGAATTTGGCTGGCAGTGACTAGGGAGGAAGTATTCAGTTGCCACTGGACTCGATTCCATGTGATTAGGAAAACGATTATTGGCCAGGCAACAGGTCTGGAGGCAGTTGTTGGTTTTGAATCCATGATGAAGGCCCAGTTTAGCAATAAGGGGCTTCCCAACATTAACTTCCTTTCTTTCATCCATTGTATATTCTGTTCCTGGGTACTCATAGTGCAAGCAAACGGTGAAGATCAAGTGCTCCTGCAAAAGAGGAAGGAGGGAAGAAAAAGTTACACTTCTTCCCCAGATAGACAACACAGGAAACACTTAGAGCAGCACAGTCTTCTGCAGAAGAAGACTAACCTTTGCAGGAGCTAAAGACACGTATTGGGCAAGACTTGTTTACTGAGGACCTCTTTGGGGTTTTGGCTCACCTGATAGGGTTTATTTATAGAGGCACTTTGATTACACCAGCTGCCAAAAGCACTAGCAGTGAAATACCAAGTGATGTCCAGCAAAGGTGTTCATGACACAGATACAGAGATAAACTCAACAGTGCCACAGTGTCCTGAGGAGAACCTCATGCCCAAGAGCACAAGCTGTAATGGAAGGAGACGATACGTAATATATTCATCTCCTACTAATGACATGTAAGATGCTGCTCTGCTTCAGATCTGCTTCAGATCATCATCCTACAGGGCACAGTAACATCCCCACAGAGGGCAACAGATGATCCTCACAAAACTAATCACCTTGCCAAAGTACAGGCCTAGGAAATACAAAGTGCTCTGTACAACAGTGTCAGGATTGCACAGGCATTGATGAATAATCTATACTAACCCTTAGTTTCTGCAGTGAGCTTAGCCTGGTGTAGAGGCAGTGCTTGGGAAGGTCCTTTGAGACTAAATAGCTTCCAGTTTCCTCAGGAGTTCCTCTGTTGGCCTCTTTAGGATCCACATCCAGGTCCTTTTGCAGGGAAGAAAAGATGCAGTTTGACACGGACAAACCACAGGAGGGAGATCACCAAGAAGACAGCAAGAGGGAGCACTTACTAGTGCAAAGTCTGTAACGTAGGCTCTGCAAACCACTATCTCAGGTGGTTGCTTTACTATCCGTGTGTAGATGATCATGACGTTGGAAAACTCGGCTGCAAACCCCAGCTGGATCTGAACTCCACACTTGAATTCCAGGTACATGCTTTCTGGAAGCTCTGCAAGTAAATAACACAAAACTTAACCCGTGTGTTTTCTATTTACGATGGGTTTCAAAGTGTAGACCTCCTCTTGCCCTCCTCTGCCTGTCACTACAGACACTGCCAGAGAGCTGCCTCACCTTCATCAGAGAGCTGCCTCACCGTAGACATACCTTTATACAAATACAAAGGTTATTCTCTTCCCAAATTCCACATACATTCTCTCCTATGCATGGCTTAAAACAAACCACAACATTACGTCTTGGTAATCTTTGCTTTGCATTCCAGTCACGTAACACAGAAGAATTAAGGGCCGAGACCACAGATGAAAACCTCCATCTGTGATAGATGCTGCCTCCATCACCAGTTCACAAAGAGACTACTGGGAGCTTATCCCAGGAGGAGACGTCATACACGTCTCTCTTCCTCTTATTCTTCCCACCAGCACCCAAAAGCAGACTGTCCCATACCATGAGCTTTGGCCCACTGGAGGTTCCGTGCCTGGCTCTCTGCAGAAGATCCAGTCTGTTGGATGGGATCAGTCAGTGCCCTCTTCTCAGACAGACTGCTGCGGATCTCCAGAGCCTGCTTGCCTTTGGTAAGGTGACACTTGCCCATATCTAAAATGAGATGCACATAGTTAGTTTCAAAATGAACACTGCTGAAACTCTAACTGTATTGAATACACTGCTGTGGTTATGCCAGTGTCAGCACATCCATAAAAACATGTCGTTTTAGAAGCATTCATTGCTCAGCTATTCATCACTTCAGGATATAGCAGTGTGCCAGGTGCCTGCAGAGGATTTGTATGTGTCCTACTCAGCGTGCTCACATGTTCTTCAAAACCAGCCCCAGCGGTATCCCAGCTCTGATTCAGTAAGGTCCCAGTTCAAGTGACTCATTTCAAGCATGTGAATAAACCCATTGGAGAGGATTTCTAAAGATCTGGAAGCAAGCAGGGTATTTTTGGAGGTTGGAACCAGATGGTCTTTAAGGTCCCTCCCAACCCATTCTATGATTTAGGGGTCAATATCAGTTATTTAACATCACCACTGATGATTCTTGTGCCAAAGGCACCTAGCAAGAACAGCACTGCCAGCAAGCACTGACCATTCACATGAAGGCTCTTTACATGGAACACTGATTGTGAACAGTCCTCTGGAACACTTTCAGATGGCATCAGCACACTCCCAACACCCAATATCTGGTAATAGTGACAGCAGTGGTTGTCACACTGCCTGACAGATAAATCTGTCTTTCCACTTTGAGGTCAAGGATGAGATAAGCAATAGGTCACACAGAACATCTCCAGCATGTGACATTAGCCTGGCAGTATGGACAAAGCAAGAGGCAGCTGGATTTTACTCCTGCTTTGAATAGGCTGACAAGGAGAACGTGGGATAAAAACTAAGGATGTAGTATATACATTTACTACTGATGCTAAGATGATGGGATTGCAGGGAAACCACAGCAGAACATCACCCACAAAGAACAGAACCTTACACACACAGCTCTTTGTTAATGCTGCAGCTATTCCATGCTTTGAGCACATGTTTGCACAGAAGCAATACATCTCCCCTCAACAGTTTTCACCTCAGCGCTTCTCCCATCAGCTATACAAGACAATTACTGAAGCAGGCATATTAAAACAGTGCATTTCCCTTTATAGTGCACTTGTACCTTTGATTATCATCATCACTAGAGCACTCTTTGGTAGGTAGGACTCAGTTGTTTAAATGAAATGGAAGTGACTGGACACTAAAAGAGTGATTTTTATGGATGGGCAATTTAAATCTAAATGCAGAAGGACACTCAGAACAAAGAAGGTTCACTAAAAAGCAGAGGATAAAATTGATCAGTATTAAAGAAGCTCAAATCCCTTTATAATATCATGATCTTTGTTAATGTGCTGCCCAGCAGCACTCGCTTCTTGATAAAAGCTGCTGTTTAACAAAAGAGCTTAAAGCAGACACTTAAGCTGCTAGTAAATGGAGGCTGAGAAGAGTGCAGGAAGCTGGAGGAGCTCACCTTCTGCCACCTCATCGAGCAGCACAGTAATCTTCTTGTCTTCCAACAAGCGATCCTTCAGGAACTTCATGAAGATTCCATTGGCCAATCCTGACTGCTGGATTTCAAAAGCTTCTGCTCCCTGGCACCTGTGAGATCAGCAGTGTCAGACAAGGGAAAACACTGCAACACCTGCATGAGTAAGATCAACATGAGGACTACAGGAGTAGTTATGTTAGGAATGGGGGAAAGAAACCCCACAGTTTGAAACCCAGGTTGTGTCTAAGGCCAATCTGCTCTGCATGTCCATTTGCAAGCAACACATCGTGAGGAGAATTCACTTACAATCAGATCACAGACCAGAGCTGATGTCAAACTACTCAGATGAGTAGAGAACTCCTACAGGTAACCATGAGCAAAAGATCAGGAAACCTGCCCAGCTGTTCCTGGTTTGCTGAATGCACTGGTGTCACCCTGGATCTGCATGGGAACACTGGGAATCATTGCATATGCATTTCCACAGTCAGTTAGACTGTGGAATGATTCAAAGAAAGGAAAGACAAAGTCACAGATAGGGATATAAATGAGTGGTCTTTAACACCACAGTTAGTGTTTTCCTGTGACAGATTAGCTGTACAATCACTTCTGGCTTCAAACCTCTGTGGCACAGCAGGAGAAAGATTTCCTTACGTGGCATATCCAAAGACAATGTTGGCTGTAACCTTCAGAGCATCCAAGATGAGAATCGTGTCGTCGTATTCGTTTCTGCAACAAATGGCAAGACAGGAAAATACCATGTAGCAGACTGCAGTTATTCAAACACCAGCCAGCAGAGTTCAGAACAGTACTTCTCTTTCTCCTCTACAGTTCTGCAGTGAATCCTGACCGCTAACACACAGAGATCTTCACGGAGACAATGTGCAGACACAGTCGGGTATCACACACTACCCAGATGAGGGCAGGCTGCACTAACCAATCGAGTTTGGCTAAAATGGCTTCAAAAGTGATTTCTGATAACCAGGCAGTTTAGGGTGTAACAAAACCCATAGGAGTTCTTAGTTTTACTTGGGTTTTGGGGTTTTCCCCCCACAAACACAGCATAACGTAAGGCTTATGTAGCCATACTTTCACAGCAGACTGGGAAGCTGAATTGGGCCATTGGCATTTCATTAGCAATGACATTTAAAACATTAAAACATTAAAGCTGCAGCAATTTTCTCTTGCTAAACATTCCTCAGGGACCAATTTGCAGAAGTGCTGAGTGAAGAGTGATTTCAAGTGCAAGTTGAAGTAGTTTCTTCAGCTGGAAAGAAAACAGTGCTTTGTTTAGAAAAATCCAATAACCCAGTTGGGTTTGAAGCTCTAAAGAAAGATACAGCATCCCCAGCATAAAACCAGGGCACAGAATCAATGCCTCTGAAGAGATCTAAAAATAAGCGCTTCATTCGAGCCCTTCTGTCAAATTGATGTGCCTTTGATGATACGGATTCTCCTTCCTCCCTGTAATGATGAAGATGGTTAATGGTGCAAGGGGACAGTCTGATTCTTCTTCAAGATGCCCGATTCCATGATCTCAGTTTTATTAGATAAGACTGATGCTTTCTAACCTTTAAAGAACAACAAACAAAGATGAAATAAATGTCCTTCAGATCAAGAAGCAAGCGTCCACCCATGCAAACAAAGCCTAATCACCAGCTTCACGCTTCCATCCAAGGCCAAAGGCAAAATAAGCCTATGAATGAATCCCACTGACTTTAAGAACACTTGGTTTTAACGTGCTGCTGCAGTGAACTGAGCTTCACAGTTGGTTCCCAAACTACAGTCATTACACCCTTTCATGAGGCAAAACCATCCCTCAAGCACCCAGTGTCAGTCCTCACTATTCCTGTATGATGGGACTGTACCTTTTCCGACACATATCCAGCAGGAACACATTCAGTCCTGTCTCCTTCTCCTGCATCCGTTTGAGGATGTTCTGCACACACAGGCAGTTTGCAGAGCGATAGGGATTTGGTGCATCAATAGGAACCATGAAGCTGTTCCCATAGTTTTCATAGCCATGGCCAGCATAGTATAACAGACCTGAGAGTTCAAAACACACGTGACTAAAAACACAGCTCAAGAGTACATTGAATATTTTAGCATGTCAAACACTTCATGCATATGTGTCTGAGGGAGATTAACTTCATTCAAGCTACTCCAAGCAGGGTGTTTAACGCCTTCGTTAATACAGGAAAGAAGGGGAACCACATTAACATCAACTTCGCAACACAAAGACACAACAAATTAAAAGATACCAAGCAAAAACCTCATGCAATAGGATAAATGAGATACTGGCATCAATGTGTATGTCCCTACAAAACCTGAGTATTCAGCCCTGTGCTTTGTAAAGGAAACCAAGCCAGAACTACAGCTCTGCAGACCAAGCCTTTGGTTCTCTTTTCCTTCACTTCAATTCTTCACTTTACTTTTACTTTTACTTAAGCCCTCAAGTCATTAACAGCTACGCCAGGACCTTGCAAACTGCTCCATTCAATCAACAGGGCTGAATTCCTGTATATGGGAAACAGGCACAGGCAAGACAAGCGGGCAGCAAGTCCATGCAAGGGAAGTGGTGGGATGCAAGGCTTCACTTGAACAAAGAGCCTCAATCCAGCTACCAGAGGCTTGGGAAACAGCAACAGCTTTATTCAGTTAAAAGTCAGGTTTTTAAAGGGCACAGAATTGAAAGTGTATCATTACCTGGAGGTGTTCAAGGTTGGATGGGGTTGGAACAACCTGGTCTAGCGGAAGGTGTCCCTATTGGAACTGGATGAGCTTTAAGGTCCCTTCCAACCCAAATCAGCCTGACCCTGTGAATAACCTGAACAAATAAAGGTACTATTGGGCTATTTATAAGGTTCAAATGGTTACCTGAGACTAGGTAAATTCAAGAGAGTTAAAAAAATGAAGGTAAGCACCAAGTGCATGAGGGATGTCAGGTCCTAAGTTAAAAGGAAACAAATGTGATGTCCACAGAGTTTGGATCTGGACCCAAATCAAGGCTGTATTTGAGATTCTACAGATCAGGTTTATGTTAGATTAGTGATTGGACTGACTGAAGAAAATAAGCCTCTAATATAAGTCATGAGTATTTCCTCAATGAACAGAAATAGCTCAGAAATAACCACCACACTTCTTCCATATCCTTGGCAGGTGACTGTGCTGTGCTTATCTGATGAGTACCTGCAACAGTTAAGCTGCTGAGCTCAAGATCAGAAATAAATCTCTGCATACCCAAGGCAAGCACAGTAAACATGTTTGGAGGAACTCATTAGACACTTCGACACCATGATTTTAAGTAGGCTCAAGTTCCTCACAGAGGTCAGCATCTAAGTGGTATCTGCCTCTCTCTTAAAGAAAGCAGCCTAACAGCTATTTTTAGCCCTTAAATAGATGGGTCTGTGCTTTTACCCTTTGTGGAATACAATATTTATTGCTCTCTACCTTTAGAGGAACATAAACTAAGACATCAGAGGCGAAAAACATCATCACTTTGTCTCTTCTGGAACATTTCTTATCTGAAATGCCACTTTCCTGGCAGTTAGCAGGAATTACAATGTCCTATCGAGCATCAGGAATATGTGTAATAGGCACTAAATAGAAGTAGCCACTATGCCTCTTCTATTTGGAGCTGTGCCCACTAAAAAAGCAATAAATCATCCTCTATTTGTGCACCGACAGCATCTTTTATACGCCTGAAGCCATTAATATCCAGGAAGAACAAAGACCATTTACACTGAAAACACTACTCAAAGAATGCTCTCCTTACCTTCCAGAAATGCCAGCCTGCTGGAAAAACACAACTGCAAACATAAGCCTTAGAAGAGCTTTGCTATGGGGCTGGTGAGAAACTCATTAAAGCCTGTCAGTACTAAACTCATGTCCATTAGAGACAATTGTTAGAGAAAACAACTCGGAAGGTGCAAGACCCTAAAAGCTCACCCCAGTGCATAAGCACACCTCTTGCCAGGGCACAGAGAGAGACAACGGCTATCAGAGCGCCTGCTAAACCTCACCGCCCTACTTAGCCTTCGTGTCGTGCGAGTTTTGGCTCTGACATAAATACCCAAATGTCAGCTCAGCCAGTTCTGCTCAGGCAGAGCATCAGGTAACACTGCAGTGAGAAAGGCTCACTGAGAAACGATCTGACCTTGTGTTCCACAACAGAATCAGCTCGTGTTGTCTAGGGAGGGCACTGCTGCAGGAATCGTGCTGGTGAAACAGGACAGGTGGCACAACTTTGGGGTCTCTGTTCTACATCATTTCGGGTGGCATTTATGCAACTTAATGACCAACCAGTGGCAGCCAGCAGCACCCTCCTCAAAGCCCACACCAGAACTTCCCTTGCGCTCCAAGCCAGGTCATTCAAGGCCTTTCCAAGGAAGACATGAAGGTTTCTGCTCTGAGCATCAACCCCACAAGCTCTGTCTTGTGCTCTGACTCTCAAATAGTCTGTAAGGGATAATGTGAGTTCTTCTCTGGTTTATTCTACTTCTTTGAAGCGCACAGCCACAACTTACAGGAACTACACTGTCATTTACATAAACAAATTTCTTCTCAGTTTGCTTTGTGAAGCAGAAATCCAGGTTTGCACAACTCCCTGTCAAGGGCATCATGGATAAGTCTGTGCTTGCCAGGCTGGAATCACAGGAAGGATTAACCTCAAACCTTGGCACAAAGGAAGAGGGCTAAAAGACGTCCTGTTCTCCTGCCCTAACACACCTGGTATCAGAATGCAGCTCACTGTAAAGGCAAAGAAAAGCCTCCCTCTGCCTCTGTTCTTTACAGAGCAAGGACTGAGAGCAGAGCAGCACTTCCCAGAGAGAAGAAATCCAGAAGGAAAGAGCATTCTGCAGGCTTTCCAGCAGAATGGCAGGGGCTGAGTGCCACCAGCAAGCCCAGAGCACATTCCGTATATTCCATGCTGTTCCCCACCAGAAAAGTAACCCAGCCATCCAAGGATGCCAAGGAATTAGTCAGCCCTACCCAAACCATCATCTGCAGGCATGGGAAGGGAGGAGGACAAGGAGGAAGATGATGTTGAAAAGCTCTCCTAAAGGCAGCAAGGACTACTGCCCAGGACTACACCTAGTCTTGAAAGCTGTGTAACTGCAGTGTACAACCACTCTACTACTAGCTTGTTTCCATAATACACCAGTACAGTCAAAGGGCATGCTGGTGGGTGTTTTTAACTTTTCCTATTCTACATACATGCTATTTATCATGAAGTCTGTCTTGCTATCACTCAGAGTGAGCTGGCAGAGGTACACACCAGATGTGTGTGTACTTGATGCATCCCAAACCTGACCTGCTTCTGAGGGGTACCACATGCTCTTACCGTACACTCCTTTGTCCAAGAGGAGCAGAAACTCATCCACTGCATTTCTCATCTCGGGCTCAGTGAGATCCAGCAAGGAGACAACTTTGAAATCCAGCTGCCTCAGCAAGTTGGTCAGTTCATAGACATCCACCATGGGAGCCTTGAGCTGGGGATGGTTCCAGTAGCTCATATTCCCTATTAACAGGGCTACCTTGTCTGTTGCTGCAGAGAGAAAACAAAACCAAAACCACATCAGGTTTATATATTCCATGGGTTCAACTCCTTTAAACTGAAGTTGCTCAATTCAGGCACAATTATTTTATACAATTTTAAAGCACAGCTCCCGAATTCCCCCACGCAAGAAGACATTTCATGCACATGAAAGTTCTGATGGCCACTAAACCTTCCCCAAACCCTCACATTTTCTTCTGCTTCTTAAAACACAGACAAGAATCCACCACACACAAAGCACCACTTTCACATCTCCATCTTCCATGTCCCATCTCTCTCTAACATGGTACAATTAGGGGGAAACTTTTACAGGTCACAAGTAAAAAGTCTTTTCCCTGTTTGTTAAGGCTTCTTTTCACTTACACTCCTCTCACACTGAGGAACGTGCAAGTGGTACAGCTCTGACAGAGGCCAGCAGCCTCTCCACCTGGTTCAGCATCCAGAACAATATGCCTGAGCACACTTGAGTCTACCATGCAAGAATTCAGTTAAAACCCCCAGCAGCTATTCTTCCCAACATACATATGTTACCCATCTATCTTTATGAGCTTCAGCTCAGCATCAAAGCATCCATGCTGAGGAAGAGCTGAGCTTGCAGCGACACATCCCCTCAGCAGACTGCCTACCAATCCTTTCTATCACCCCACCCCAATACCACTACCTCCAACTGTCCAAGTATTCAAAGTAAGGGAGGAACATGCTGGCTAAGGCCCTGGCCAGAGGAATCTGAAACAGTAAACTGAAACAGATCAGAAGTTGTAGACACTCCACCGAGTCACTAAAAATACTGGTGCCCTCACCACATTTTACTCCTGAAAGGGCATGCAAGCATTAGAAAAGGCTATAAAAATACACAGAAGTCTCTCTCCCTGCAGATATTTATGTGTTGGTCACAATTATTTCACTAGCAGTGGCAGAAAAAGTCATGTTCTGAAGAAAAAGCTATTTCCTAGATGTGAAACGTGTATGTTCCTTACAGCTACAAACTACTTACCAACAGGTCTGTGATCTGCCTGCTCTTGCAGCTCTGCTTGAAAGAGATGGGAAGAGCAGCTCATCAGTAACTACAGTCATAGCTGGAGTGTCAGAAAAGAACTGCATGTCCTGTACAGCCACAGGCTATTGGCACTGCTATGCCTCATATATTACTGGCTTAAGACAGACAAGAAAATGCTCTTTCTTTTTGTTTTGGTGGGGTTTTACCTGGTTTCCTTCACCCTCTTTTCCAAGCTTATCACTCACCTGGTTTCTGAAGATCGCTGAGGTCTTCTGTGAAGAAACACACCAATAACATCAGTTTAAACAAGAAGAACCAATTATTTCATTAATAAAAATATGAGGGATTATTAACAGAAGCCAAAGTACCTTTCTAAAATACTTCTGGCTTTGCATTTCTGCAAATCTAAAGCTTTCATATGATTATTCCACATGCAGAGAAGAGAAAGCCCTACATCAATCTACTAAGCTCTCTACAGCCTTCTAATACAGTAGATCTCAACAGAAAAGGAGGAAACCCGTTCTGTGCCTCAGTCCCACAGGCATGCAAGCAGCCTGAATGAATAAGGAACAGAAGCACCCAGATGTGTGAAGGACAGCAACATCCTAAGCAAGAAATCTTACTTTGTAAAGCCCAGATTCCAGATACGATTGTCAAACACTCTGAGCTACCACAGGCAGGGTGTGGCCAGGGGGGATGCTCTAAGCAGCCTGACATCTTTATATATGATCCCCTGTGATGTAAATACTCGCTTTAAGATGCTCAAAGGGATGGTGTCAGCACTAAATTCTTCCTCCCTATTGCAGCAGTGCAAAGGAAAAGAGAAATCGTCCCAATAAGGGTGCTGGAAACAGCTCTCACAGACAGAGCTGACAGTGGAACTGCTCTATCCAGCTCTCTAAGGTCATCCAGGTTCCTAAACACCTTCAGCCTTTCCTGCCAGGATGTTGCCTCCTGAGCCCAGCCAAAGAAATCTCAACATCTTCCCGTGCCACTAGAAACAGGACACAAACCCAGTGCAAAAAAATCAACTTGAAATACTACAGAAGAAGAAAGCAGCTTGGTTTTCATCCCGTGTGCTTTAGATCGTGGTATTAAGGCAAGAAGAGAGAAGCACATGCAGAAGGAACACTGCATCACACGTTAGTGATTTCAAACAGACCGAAGCTCTTAACCCACGCATGCTTTTCAGCAACACGCCATCATCCCCATCATTTAGTCTTGCAACCGATTCACAACTGAAGACGTATTTACCTTCTGAGCACTCCACTGCCATAGCTTTCCTTCCTTGGGTTCAAGGGGGGAAAAATTGGAAGACAATTGCTCTCAGTTGTGACAGTGAGCACACAAAGTGGGAGAGAAAGTCACTTCTGAGCTTCTCTGCAGTCTGCCTCATTTCACAGCAGCAGCAATCAGCACTGACCACAACACTGTGTAGTATTACTAAGCCCCAGGAGTACTAAACTAGGCTATTTCTTAGGATATGCAAGAACTTTCCCTATGAATTATGCAACAGGATGATCTGGAAGCTGCACAAACAGATCTTTGCCTCGTTAGCTTACTTCAAATACAGGCACTCACACTAGATCATGTTATATTCGCTTGTTCTGCTTGCTGTGAATAACCTCACCTGTCCTCATTGCTGAAGGACTCAGTGTAACACAGTTTGTACCTCCAACAAGGGTTTATAGGCTTAGGGAAGGAACTGATACATCAGGTAACCTGTATCAAGCACAAAAACTCCTTACCTATAACAACTTCTATCTTGTCGCTGTCCTCATCTTCCTGGTCATTGAACACGTGACACCAGTACGTCCCTTGATGCTCCACATCCACATAAGTGACCTGCACAAGCATTGTCACAGTCATTCCACCAGACCCCAGGAGAATTCCTGTCTCAGTTTCATTTAATCCCACTTGCAAGAAAGGGTAAAATCTAAAAGCAAAGCCTGACCTAATCCAAAACTGCTGACACCCTCATTCCTCAGTGAGCAGAACAGCACATGCCTCCTAGCAATCCACCTCAGTGGCTTGAGATGCCTTAAGCACTGAATGCAAGAGCTCATACAAGTCAGAGTGCTCTGCAGGGCTTTCACTCTGCCCATATACTTCATCTGTGTCATGTCCCAGCAATCCAAAGTACACTATAGCCTTATATCCCATGACTACAACCTGGAATATGCTCAGGATTAAAACCATGCACCCAAGAGCCTCAGAACATTATAGGAAAGGGACTAAGAACCTCCAGTGAGCACTCCCATACCAGGTAGCCAAGGCTATGCATTAACTGGTTTTCCTCAGGGAAGCTTTATGTGGTGTTAAGCGGTTATGCACTAGTCCCCAGGGCTGGCCCCCAGTAACTTACCATATAGACATTTTTGCTCCCATTTGCCAAGGGAAATCCATTTCTGAACCACTGGTACTGAGGAATTGGGTTTCCAACAGCTCCGCACTCCAGCACCAAAGCACCCCCCACTGCCAGGCTTTGTGCCTGAGGCTGGACACAAATGCGCAGCTTGTTCCCAGGCAAACCAGTTAAGCTCCCTTAAAAAGTGAAAAAAGAGGGAAGAAAACAGGAAAGAAAGGGTGAGACACCATATAGGCTAATAAGAATTGATGATGTATGGTCACATCTTCCTGTAACTCCAACAGGCTGGTTTAATAGCAATGAAATTCAGCTACTTGTCCCTGAGGAGTACACTAAAAACATCAGCCACTGCCATGACCCAAATAGAAATGTCTTGGGGAACAAAGCTATTCAGAACACCTTAAATGCACTGAAGACTCATCCAGCTGCTGTGATGTAAGTTTCCACACATGATAAAATTCATCTTTAGGACATCCCCCACACAGAGGAGTGCTGCACTGAGAAGATTTGTGGTATCCACGTATCAGTTTAAGCGACACACACTCCAGCAAGCCCAGCCCCACTTGTAAAGGTCCCACCAGTGATCTTTTCTCTCAGCTGCAAGGTCACTCATCTCTGCTGTTAGTCTACATGTGCAGACACATGCTTTGTCATCAGGGCTGTTCGTGACTGACAGCCAGAGGGTGATGACATTTTCCTTTGCACAGTGAAATAAAGGGAGGCAGTGATCCAAGTATCTCTGTTCTACCAGTGGCTGAGATGCTTGGTGCATCATAAACTTGTGTTTCAGAAGTTGTAGTCAAACAGGATTAGTCTTTAAGGACAGGAACACAAAAGTTACAGGTAGTGAAAGATAACATGAGATTGAAAGATAACATGGTTTCTGTCTCCCTTACCTGCCATTTACAGGCCCTTGTTGGTACATCCTGTTGTACCACTCTCAACACACACTAACCAGCTTGTCCCTGTATCTTTTGGGATCGTGTCTGGCTGCCTCAGTGGTCCCAAGCTCACAAGACAGCTTTGGCAGAATGGAGCACGACTGAGCGCTCAAATAGAAAGCAATGAAAGAAGAGGAGGAGAAGAGTATCTGAAAAAAGAAAGCAACCAAAAGGGAGCAGGAAAAGGGGAAAGACAGACAGTAAGCAGCTGAAATGGAAGATTTCATACCTAGTCATCACTTACAGCAGTGGTATTGTCAGTATTGTCTAGTTCAACTGAAAAACCAGCAATCCCAGGCCAAATGTTCCAGGAGATGGAGAGTGTTCACTCAGTGCAAGCACTACGTGTTCCCCTTTAAGTCTCCTTGGGAGGACTCCAAGAGGGGAAATTACAGGAAGGAGCAATCTATCCTGCCGCTCATCCTTTCACCCATTACCAAGGCCTAAACACAGTAAAATTCACTCCCACTATAGTTCCTGGCTGGCCAAGAGTCATGGAACATAAATCAAGGCACTAGGCTGTGGATACCTGCTGCCCTTTAGGCTCCAAAACTCCTGTCACACGTGTGAAACAATATACTGCTGGTTTTCCTCAGAGATTCTTTGGAAGTAGTCATTATAAGGTTATTCATCTCAGCTTCCTGGTGCAAGCAGCAACATTTAAACCTGCAGGTTTCTAACTGAGTAGAGCCTGGAGTAGAAGCAGGAAAAGCAGAAGAAATCATTGCTTAGATAAGGGACTGGGAAGATGTGAAAAGGTCACCCTAAGTGACACTGCAATAGCTTTTTATCTTTTACCAGAAGAACAGTTCTCTCTGTCTCTTTTCCTGACATGAGTAATTTTTCTATGTGGGATGCAAGTAGAAAACACCTTTGACTCATGACAAGAGATGAAATAAGTACTCTTCACAGCCTGAAGGCACTGCAGTTGAGTTCTAGCTCACGCATCTTCAGGCCAATAGCAAGCAAGTCCAGGCTGTTTAATGAGGGAGTTTAGAAAGTGCAGGAGTCAATGCCTGTGTAATACTCCTGAGCATTCTGTAAAGCAAACAACAAAGAATACACACACCAGAAAACCCACAATGGAAGCAGAGCTGTCTTCAAGCCAGTGCCATAAATTCCTATGGACTTACACAGCGCAGCTCAATTACTAGGGCTCTTTAGGCAGGTTACACACACCTGACTGTTAGCTGACTGTTGATAAACCTCATGAAATGCAATTCCCACCAAAAAGACTCAGTTTCACTCAAGTGTTTCTTCCTCTCGTAAATTTATTTCAGTAACTTGTTGGCCTGCCTTCACTGCTAGATGGGTTGGTTATATGAAGTTGTAAAGAGTGCATTAGGCTGTGTATGGTTTTCATCAGGCCTCTTTCCCATCTGTGCAAGACAGCAACAGGGACCCTAGTCCTACACAGACTTTCAACAGGCAGGGGGTTGGCCACTCACCATCAGGTGTTCCCTGGAGATGACAGACTTCCAGGTGTGCCCAGCGACTGAACACGAAGGAGGATGCACTGTTCACTCGGCAGATGTAGAAGCCGGAGTCGTTCACACTCACTGGATTAAAAACCAACTCTGGGGAATTGCCATTGGGAACCTGAGGTACAGGTGAACCAAGGAAGAGGTTTAATCTAAACCTGGATCAAACCTGGAATGCTTATTTCAGTGCCCGTAGCACCAGCCTCAGCACCTTCCCTTGATGAAAACTTTGGGATGAGGAAGTCTTGTTCTGTGTCTTTAAGCAGCTTGGAGATAGGCTTCCTTCTAAAAACCATTCAGATGCCTCTACTTAAGACACTTCTGAGCTTTGAAGCCTGCTGAAAAGCTCTTCCTGAAATCAAGGATTTTTACTTTTCTCCACAAGTAACTTGGAAAGATTTCTTAAGCACCGTTCCAACCTGAGTGTGTGTTACATTCAGCTCTAGTCTCAGGATATATTCAACTATGATCAGGGAACTGCAACAGTCTTTCACAGACAAAGAATTTTTTACTATCTTTATACTTCCTGTCACATTCTAAGATTAGCCTCCAAGGATGGTCTGAATATAAGGAACCACCTTATTGTTTTACATATTGCTAGAGTTCTTATGCAGCATTTCTTACACTTCTATTTTATTAGTATATAGATCAATCTCCTCTCACTGCAAGTAAGTCTTTAAAAAGGTATCATCCCAAATCATTCCCTATTATTTCCACCATTAACCCCCCTGTATTCTGTATCAGCTATTACCTCTTTCTCCTGCTTGAACCACTGGTAATGCACAAATGGGTGTCCTGTTGCCCAGCAAGACAGCTTGACCATCTGTCCAGGGAGCACTGATTGAGAGTCTGGCTGCACAACAATCTTTATCGCTTTAAAGAAGAATTTACACACAGGAAGGTTATTAACGAAACCAATCCCACTACTGAAATGTGCATTTAAGCTGTTCTTTGAGCAAAGAGTTTCTGTCATTAAACAGATTTGGAAAAGAATTAGTTTGTACTGTGTATGCATACAGTTCCTACTTGTTATATGGCTTTGAGACATTCAGTTGTTAGGCTTCAGATTAAGATTAGGCACAGCCTGAGGATGGATCAGACGAGTAAGAGTTTAACTACAACGCAGTATGGGTTTCTGTTATTCCTCATGCAGCCTCCCTAGCCAAAACACTGCTTTCAGTGTTGCATCTGGCTTCTGTAGAGCACAGGGCTGGGGTTTTCTGTTGCCCACATGCAAGGTAAAACTTTCCACTTCAGATTTGAACTGCCAGGAAGGAGCATGAGTGAAATTCTGACACCAGTTTGATATCATCCAGTTATTTTCTTAACCTTGACTATCCCAGAGATCTTGTTACAGCATGACCCAAAACCAGATCCACTGGTACAACCAAGGTCATCAGAAGAGGATATTTTCCTAACAGAGAATTCTTGAGGAAAGAAACTGTAACAATGTGATCAATGGCTGAAACCTGAGCAGAAACCCCTGTGGTCTTTGTTAATCACACACTTTGTCTAGCAGGGAAATGGGCTCTGCTAACCTCCTCCACACACAATCCTATTCTGAAGTCACTGGTCACACAGGCAGCTACTCCAAAGCATCCATAAGACCTGAAAATTCCCTGTCTCTCTCTAAAACAAATTCCCTCTATACCCTAGCCCTGAAGATGACAACCTCAGCTCCTCACTGAACACTTCCTCTGCTGTTTTTCATAAAGGGAGTGTGTTAAGCACCAGCTTTGAGCATGACCATCACCTAACATTAGCCAAGACAGACAGGAATGATACTACTTCATTTGAATGGACAGAAAAACGAAGATGAGCTGCTTTTTCCAAAGGCTTCCACTTTGGTTCAATCCCTCCTCATCCACAACTAACACCTCCTAGGAAAGCAGATGAGCAAAACAAGTTCTCTGAAAGATCAGTATTCTGCACTCCTTGGAAGCATTACAAACCAGTTCTAAGAATCTGATTCATAGTTTCTTCACAGTTTAATTTATCTTCCTACCATTCATTCAATACTCTACAGCTACTTCCTGCAAAGCATCGCACAATGTAATGGTTCAGGACGAAAACCTCCTGGCTCCATTTTTGGAAAGGTTACAGAGATACACAAATTCTTCTTCATTTGCCTTGGAAAAGGCAAAGCTCAAGTTCTGAGCTCCTAATCTTCACTATAATCCAACTGCTATGTTCTTGGCTCACACACCAGTAAACATCTGCAGTCATCTCTGGAAATTCAGCCTCAGTTACTCTCATTGAGGTTGAAGTGCTCAGACCTGCCTGCAGAGGAAAAGCACCTCTCTGCTCTCGTCTCAATCACCACAACTCCTGAAGGCGGCACAAGGGCCAGGCTGTAATACCACAAACTGCACAGTAACCCTTTTGCCTCCTTAGCCCAGGAGAAAGCTCGCTCTCTTTCATTCATTTCCAGTAAGAAACAAGATAAAAAAGGGAAGGAAAGGCCAGAGAGGTGACCCAAGATGCCACAGCTTTCTCACTGCCAAAAAGGAGAAGCTTTAGAGTTATTATTACCACTATTTCATGTCTTTATAGGAAGAAGCTTTTCCATGGAGTGAATTCAATGTGACAGGAAAGTCTCTAAGCTCTGGGAGACAAACAAGGGCTGGGACTTGGTTCTGGGAGTTGCTGATTCTTCAAGAGATGCTTTGTATTGCTGCTAACAAAGCGTGTCGCAGCTTGTAACAATCCATCTCTGCCACAAAGGTACCAAAGTCGTGTCCCCAGAAGGAATACTCCAGTGTTTCCAGTTGCAGGAAAGCACAAACCGGAACTGACCTGAATGGCTGAGGCACTGGAGAGCCTCTGTGTGCTCCAGGGCCTGCAGGAACTGCATGAGCTCCACCACAGTGCAGCCACGATCTCCCAGGAGCTTGAGGAGACTCCAACTGGGACTTCCTTCTGGCTCCAGCACTTTGAGGGAACACTGCTCCAAATCCAGAGGGCTGCAAAGTAAGGGGAGAAAGACATGTAACAGACCTCTTTAGTGCTTCTTCCTCACAAAGGAGCAGAGTGAAACCCACAGGTGGGAAGTTCCCAGTTGGTCTGAAGGTATCTGCAGTATTTCCTGCAAGCTCTGGGAGTTCAGCAACACCTCCACAGACTGAGGGCGGTATTAGTGAGCTGTGTGCTGCAAGTGATGCTTGCACCTAACAGTTCTGACCCAATGTACTGAGAGATCTTCACTTTTTCACTTCTGACAGCACAAAAACAAGAGCAGCACCTTTCACTCTCATGTGCCTAATTCAGAAGCAGTAAAGAGTGAGTTAGAATCCAACTTGAAAGCCCAAGAAGACTTTGATTTTCAGAGAAGTTATTAAAACAAGCAACTGCTGCAGCTTAACTGATACACAGAGTGCAGTTATCTGCTTCCACACGTTCCTCTCTGGGTATAAATATGCAGAGTCTGGAATCTGGGTGTTAAGCCTTCTTTCAATCAGAGCAGATTAAAATAGCACAGGTAATAAGGACATGAATACAGCTATAGAAGAGAATGCCAGTTTATGTATTCCCACATCAATCAATGTTTCTTGCATTGGCTCACATGGAGATGAGAGATTTCCACTTACCAAGCACTTCATTGTATTTCACTAGGTAATACAGGAACACACAGCCCCAGGCCTCACAGAGGGGTCATGTTGTAGCCCTCGGGTTCTACTTCTCTATATTAACAAATACAGTTGTAACAGAGGAAGGACACAGCGTATATCCAGCGCTGCACTTGAAACACCTCATGGTTTTGAGGTACCACCCTCTAAACCAAACCCGAAAAGCCAGGGGAAGCGACCTACAGAACGCGACCTGGGAAGAAGGAGCTGAAGAGAACGGACGTGTTCTCTGTCCGGCTGCCTTCCCGCTGAGGGACAGGGATGCTTCCCAGCTCCAAAGGGGCAAAGCAGGATGCTACGCTGCTCCTACTCTGCTACTTCTTCGCTGGAAGCCCTCCAGCAAACACCTCCCAGGGACGGGCCATGACTTTACCTCGCATCCCCTCCACCCCCGCCCCATGCCCAGCGCCGGTCAAGGATGCTCCCGCTGCCGCAGGATGGAGGTCCGGGGCTCTGCGAGGGACAGCACGGCCCGGACAGCCACGGCCCCGGGCAGCAGCGGCAGCAGCCGCCGTTCCTCGCCCGAGCACAGCCCCACAGGCACCGGGCAGCGCAGCCCTGCCCCGGGCGGCCGCATCACCCACGGCCCTGCTGCTTTCGGCTCCGGAGGGACCCCGCGGCTTCCCCGCCCGGCCGCCCTCACCTCAGCCGGACCCTGCCGCTGCTCCCCGCCCGCTGCGCCAGGTCCCGCCAGCCCTTGCCGGGCGCCGCTCGGTCCAGGAGCTCGCTGAGCCTGCGGAGCAGCGGCGGGGCCAGGCCGCTGAGGGGCAGCGAGCCCCGGGCAGGCTCCGCCATCGCCGCCGCCGCCGCCGCCGCCGCCGCCTCCGCCCGCCCGGAAGGCCCCGCCGCGCGCAGCCGCCACGCGCCGCGCCGCTTCCCGCCCTTTCCTGAGGGGAGCTCCGGGGTGGGGAAGGCGGCCGGGGTGGTGCGAGGGAACCGGGCCGGGGATGGTGCGAGGGAACCGGGCCGGGGATGGTGCGAGGGAACCGGGCCGGGGATGGTGCGAGGGAACCGGGCCGGGGATGGTGCGAGGGAGCCGGGCCGGGGATGGTGCGAGGGAACCGGGCCGGGGTGGTGCGAGGGAACCGGGCCGGGGTGGTGCGAGGGAACCGGGCCGGGGATGGTGCGAGGGAACCGGGCCGGGGATGGTGCGAGGGAACCGGGCCGGGATGGTGCGAGGGAACCGGGCCGGGGTGGTGCGAGGGAACCGGGCCGGGGTGGTGCGAGGGAACCGGGCCGGGATGGTGCGAGGGAACCGGGCCGGGGTGGTGCGAGGGAACCGGGCCGTTGGATGGTGCGAGGGAACCGGGCCGTTGGATGGTGCGAGGGAACCGGGCCGGGATGGTGCGACGGAACCGGGCCGGGGTGGTGCGAGGGAACCGGGCCGTTGGATGGTGCGAGGGAACCGGGCCGGGGTGGTGCGAGGGAACCGGGCCGGGATGGTGCGAGGGAACCGGGCCGGGGTGATGCGAGGGAACCGGGCCGGGGTGGTGCGAGGGAACCGGGCCGGGGTGGTGCGAGGGAACCGGGCCGGGGATGGTGCGAGGGAACCGGGCCGGGGATGGTGCGAGGGAACCGGGCCGGGGATGGTGCGAGGGAACCGGGCCGGGGATGGTGCGAGGGAACCGGGCCGGGGATGGTGCGAGGGAACCGGGCCGGGGATGGTGCGAGGGAACCGGGCCGGGATGGTGCGAGGGAGCCGGGCCGGGGATGGTGCGAGGGAACCGGGCCGGGGATGGTGCGAGGGAACCGGGCCGGGGATGGAGTTCCCCGGTCTGAACGGGGGCCGTTGGAGGTGTGACCGGAGGGCAAACCGCGGGGCGGGATGTGGCCAGAGAGCGGGGCCAGGAGGGGGCACAGCAGGCAGGAATGGTACCGCAGCGGGGCAGGAGAGACGGCTTCCACCGCAGCCGTGGGCCCCTCTGCGGCACCGCTTCGCCGCCTGCTGTCGTTCGCAGGCGAACAAGTGCCCAGCTTCAAGGATCACAGCCTTGAAGTGTCTCCCGTTGAGGTAAAGGACGTGCGGCTTGGGAAGGGTCTCCCAAGGAGTCGTTCTGCTCCGTCGCTCCTCAGGGACCCATGAGCACAGCCGTGATCTGAGGGGGATTCTCGCTCTCAGCATTTACAGCTTGCCCAAAGTGCCTCAGGAGGTAACATTGCCAGCGGTTTAATCGGTGATGAAGCACTCAAATGTGGCTGCCTGTGTTGCTGAAGTGGTTTTCACGTGTCTCATGGGGCACTGCACCACTCAGAGCAGGCTTTATGCACCTGCCAGGCTAGCACGAATCCTGAGCTCTGTGCGGTCCAGAATCGATGAGCAACAAGCCCTGTAGTTAGACTTACCCTGATGAAATTGATGCCACTGAGTGTCAACTGTCTATTTCTCATCATTTCAATGCACAGCCCATGCAGGTGTGGGTGACAGTGAAACTGACTTCATCGTGATACACAACAGGTACCCGCAGCAGCGGATGGCTCAGCCCCTGGGAAACCAGGCAGGAAGGAGCCATTCACCCCCCTCGGCCGGGTCTGTGCTTTGTGGGTGTCTTCCCGCAGCACCAAGCAGTTAAACTGCCTCCCGGTGACCACGGGTTTAAACCCTGGGCTCCCATTCCAGTGGGGATTATTTTGAGGCTATTACATAAAACACAGATATCCCTGCTGCTATTCCTGAATGAGGTGCTGTGTTTATTGCAGAGCACATCGCTTTCCTATCTGCGTCTAGATAACAGTGCGAGCAACAAGTATCTAGCACAGTAGGCTCTCATAACCACTTTTAGCTGTGCTTTCAGCTGCAAGAATGGCACAAAACTTGCTTTTCAGCCTTTTCTTGTGCTCAGAGCAGTCTGTGCAATTCATTCAAGTTCCTCCTGTGTGAGACTTGGGGAACTTTCTGACTGCAGGATTCACTCACCTTTGAGGCATGAGGTGGATTTTTATGAAGCGGTTGGTAAAAGCTCACTCTCCACCTTAGTTCTTCAAGTGCTTGTTAGGGATTGCAGTTGCTCCTGGTCAGCAGAGCTTTTGTGTGCTTAACTGCAAGCGAGAGATTCCCAGCGCAGTGAAGCACACTTAAAAACACCCCGGTGCTTTATTCTGCAAAGCTAAGGCCAACACTTCCTCTCTTTCAAGGCCATGAGGAAATTCCCCTGGACTTCTATGGAAGTAGGATGTGCTGTCCCATCCCTGCCAGCTCTCCCTCTGCCTGGCAGCGGTTTTCCCAGGAACAGCCATCTGCTGCATGTAACGAAATAGTCTCTCTTAAAAGTCAACCTGTTCTGTAAGCAGACTCGCTACTCTAAGGTCACACAACACCGAAGCTCCCAGCCAGCTTCTGAGCTCTGAGACGACGTGCACCACTTTAACGTCTTTTGTCTTATAGCACGGATGAAACCGCAGGCCTGGCCTGCTTGTAGAGCTTAAAGGAAGAGCACTTGGGTAAGTGCACGTCTGTGCTTTGAGAGGTCAGGTTGTTTCTGGTTTTCAGAGTACTTGTCTGCTTGTTCTCCTGCGTGCGGGTCGAATGTGTATCGTGGAAGAAAAATAAATGAAGAAGAGCAAGTTGCTTTATTCTTAATGCATTACATGATTGCAGTGATTTGTTTTGTGATGGCACGGGAAATAGGAGTTCTGATGTGCTTCTGCTAAAGTATGGTCGTTTTTGCTCAACTTGAGAGATTGTTGTTTCTAAACACACTGCCTTCAGAATTCTTCTGACTGTTTTGAAATGCGACGCTGGCACTATGTCCACTGAGCGTCAGGAGGACAAAACTTGTGTGAAAGCAAGCTTCTTGCTCTAAAGAATGTGTAAGTGATACAAGGTATCCTGAAGTTCACTTCCTAAATCCATACTGCATGGCCTGAGCCTTATCAGGTAAGGATTTCCTCCGTTCCTGAGGAAAAACCTGGTTGCTTGGGATTCTTGGCTGCATGAATTGCTCATGCTGACAGTGTCAGATGCTTGGCAAGTGTTAAAAATAGATGAAGACAGATCAGTGTTAAGAGTGGTGCTGTGTTTTAATTACTCAATATTAAGGTCTTCATTAGATATGTGCAGAGCCAGTCAGTTCTTGCATTTAGTCAGTGGTTTATAGCTGGGTGTTTTCTTTATGCCCTGGTGCTGTTTACAACAGGTAGCACACTAATAGAAAAGCTGTCAAAAAGCTTTGCATGTTGGCAAATGAAGAAACACAAAACATCCCAGAATATTTGGCAAGGATATGTTTTCCAGACATCTGCTTTTTGAACAGCAAAATTTCCCTGATGTGTTCCTTATCCAAACCTTGTTCATGCCATAGATGTGAGAATTAGGTTAGATAATGCGGTATTTTGGTACTTTCTGACATTACACACTCTTTGACAAGTAGCTGTTCTAATTATAGAAGAGTAATACTACAATTATTGTTGGTATTCCAGTATTAGGAGTTCCAGACAGAACTGCTGTGAGATACAGAAGCAAATAGGAAATGCAGTTGTAAATCCTCGTGTGGATGAGAGCTTGTTGTGGTTTAATCCAGCTGGCAACTGAGTACCACTTGCTACTCCTACTCCATCAAATGTTAGACTCTGTAGTAAGCAAACTGCTGTGTAAATACTTACTGTGTAGCCTTGTTGAACAGAGCTCACAGAGTTATCATTGAATTCTTGAATCCCAGTTTCTGTTGTCTTGGAGGCTTTGATAACAACATTTAAATACAGCACCTTTGGAAGTGGTTTTGTGGCTGTCTGGAGCAATCACTTGGGAAAGCTTGTCTGGGCTCGGAGTGGGGGAAAGTAGAATTTGGTTCCATCAGCACTTCTGGATGCACAGAAGAGCGTCACAGAAACACACCAGTGTTGATGAAACTTCTAAAGGAAAGCTTGTAGTAAAAGCCTGGATTTCTGTTAAAGAGAAGATGAGGAAGTGAAAAAATGTGCATGTTCCCAACTGGAAAAGCATCGTCAGGCTGAGAGTGGGGAGTGAGAACCCAGCCAGGCTGCAGCAGGACTCCCTTATATCCCATGTGCTTGTGTGTTCTGTCTGTGCCAAAACCAGGGTAAGGCAGGAATAGCGTGTATGCAACACTCGTTCCAGCGGGATGCCAGTGTCAGGCACGGCATGGATCCTGACCCAGCCAGTGGGAAGCTCCTCCTAGTCCCACATTTCAGACACTGCCCCTTTTAGGTTTTCCTTGGGATTGTGTGGTTAGTGGAGATTCCTTTCTGCTTTTGTTGTTGTTTCTGTTCTGCTTTTGCTGCTTTCTTTACTCAGCCTAATAACATACTGCTGGCCGTGCCAGCTTGCTTTCTGGTGGGATCTGTATGGTGTATGATATATGTATGATATGATATATGATATGTGTGGTATATGATGACTGTTTCCGTTCGTCACAAAGAAAAGTTTTGCCTCTGTTAGTGGCTTGGTTTGGAGCTTTTCCATGTTTCTCTTAAATGAAGTCTAATTATAGCCCCTAGCTTGCTTTGTGGTTAAGCCACCTGCCAATATAATAGCTCTATAAAGAGATCTATAAAGCCAAAGTTTAGTAGGATAATAATTGTTTTCCAGAATGGCAAATCCAGATCCCAAAGTTTGCCCTAATGGATTGGAGGTGACAGTAGGATTTGGGGAATTTGTTGCCTCAGACCAGCTACCTCAGAATAAAGAAGGAATCACATCAGCAACCGCTCTGGTGACTTTCTAAAGATCAGTGTGACAAAAGAGTGTTAAAGAGTAGGTGAGCAGCCTGTATGATGCATGCACCCACGTCCTCCTCGTATCAGAGAATCAGTCCTGCTTTCTGTGTGTAGGTTTGGGGGCAGAAGTTCAGTGGAAGTCAA